GCGCGCGTGTGTGTGTGTGTGTGTGTGTGTGTGTTCAACAGAAATTTATTGAGTACTTACTCTGTGCCAAGCACCGTCCAGTTTCTGGGTAGACAGAGATGGAAGAAAACCCAATCCTTGACCCTCTGTCAATTCAAGTTCGCCCTGCTACTTAGCAAAGTGCTACAAGAGAGCCAAACTGAGGGATGGGTGCAGAAAGGTGTTGTTATGCCCAGGAAATGGGTGAAGGTTGGTTTTGTGGAGCAACAGATATTATAGTGGATCCCTGAGGGATAATTAGGCTTTCAACAGCAAGACAGGAAAGAAAGGCATTCTAGGGAGAAGGGACCACATGTGCAAAGGCACAGAAATTTAATCATGCATAGTGCTGTCTGCCTGTATCAGTTAAGATTAGGATTGTCTGCATGTAACAGAATATCTAAAAGAATAGTGGCTTAAACGAGAGCTGTCCAGTTCTTTTTCACATAAGATGAGTTGAAAATATACAGTCCTGGGTAACCATGACAGCTCTGTGGCCCTAAGGAACCCAGGTTCTCTCTACTTTTCTGCTCCACCATTCTAGCACTGACTTTCATAGTCAAGGTCACTGTATGGACCGAAAGGGCTGCTGAAGCTCCAGCCAGCACATCAGCATTCCAGGCAGCAGGAAAGAGAAAAACCCAAAAGGGCACATCTCTCAGCCAAGTCAGTTCCCTATTAAGTGGACATACTGGAGGGCTTATGTAACACTTCTATTGACATCTCTGGCCAGAATTTTGTCAGGTGCAAGGGAAGCTGAGAAATGTAGTCTTTATTGCGGGAGCAGCTAAAAACTAGGTTTCTGTTATTAAGGAAGAAGGAGCAAATGGATATTGGATGGACAGCTAGTAGTGTCTACCGTAGTGGTAGAATAGAGCAGTGGTCTTTCAGGGCATGGAGAGAGGTGACGGCAAAGGGCTAAACCACAAAGGCCACGCTAAAGAGAGTTTGGACTTTATTTTGTAGAAAACAGGGAATCGCAATGCATGACTGAATCGGTGCACTATAGAGAGCCAAAGCTAAGCCCTGCAGACTGTGGGAGGGGATGGCAGTCCCAGGGGAGGGGCCCAGAGTTGCTGAGAGCAAGCCTGAGAGGAACCCAGCAAGCTCAGGATATCCGAGATTGAGGCAGCTGCAAGCCATCCGTCAGGTGGCTCAAGGGCACCTGAGGATCCAGCCAAAGCTTAGGTGAGAAGACAGGGCTGGGGACGAATGTGGCCAGCCATGCTGAGGTGGATGAGGTCAGCCCAGCAGGGGAGCCCCACTGTTGAGCTGGAGGGATCTGATGGACCCTCAAGTTACTAGCCAGGGGGACAATGGAGTGGGTAAGTGCACAAACTTTAGAGTCAGACAGAGCTAGGTTTGAATCCTAACTTCACCACTTAATAGCCATGAACCCCTGTGCTAGCTGGTTGCCCTTTCCAAGCCTTAGTTTCCTCATCTGCCAAATGGGAATGAAGAGGCCTGCATGAGGGCTGATAGGAGAACTGAGTGGGTGACTGATTAGCCCAGGGAACTGTACTCATCAGTAAACACTAGCTCTTACCATCAAAGGGGCCACCAGTGTGTTTCTTGGGGCCATGGGTATGCCCTACAGCCTTCCAACTGAGCCCTGTGTGGGCTGGCTGGGGAGCCAGTGAGCATGGTGAACCTCCAGGGCTCTGAGGCCCTCCGACTCAGCACAGCCAGGTCCCCGGCGAAGGGGCACCAGCAGCTCTTGCTGGTGGCTTGGAAGGGCATTATGCATTTGCCAGGAGGTGCTCCAGCACCCGCCGCGGGCTCCGCAGAGATGATTCCGGGGAGTTTCAGCCCGTTTTGGAAACTGAGAAAGACAACAATTGCTGGGGCAGAAAGAGAGGGCCCCACCCTGCAGAGAGCAGGGGCCCAGTATGTCCACATGAGCCCCGCTGTGGGGCGTGGCCAATCCCAGCCAGGAGGAAAGGCCCAACTTGGAGTCTGGATAGACAGTACC